AGAAAACTAAAAAGTGAGTACAGGATGAAGCAGGAATAGGCTGAACTTGCTTCTATTATAACAATGTTGCCCTGTGAACTAAGGGGCTAACTAGAACTACCTCCTGAGAGTATATTCCCAAAAACCTGAGATCCTACTAGGTCACAACCTCTAGTTATACCACTTTAAACACTAAACATTCCATCACAGCAGACCGGTGGGTAAAAACACAAAATCCAAATCATAGCAGTGACATAGACAATAAGCAATGCCTTGTGGATCTTAAGTTATTTAACAAGGGGTGGTGGGGGGGGGGAATACATCCTAAACAGTATACAAAATTAGGCACAGTCTCCAGAATGTTAGTTAGAGAAAAATGAATGAGAGGTGGACAGATGGCTCAGGGGGTAAAGTGTTTGTTTTGAAAGCATGAGTTTTACCATAAAATTAGCCAGCTGTGATGGCTCACACTTGTTATCCCAGCATTGAGGAGGTAGAGAAGGGTAGATACTGGAATTTACAGTCTAGAAAACCTAGCCTACTTGATGAGGTCTAAGCCAATGAAAGACCATATCTTAAAATCAAATCAACACAACAACAAAAATAGAAAAACAAAACCCCAAACCATTCAACTACCAACCAATGAAATGAACAAACCACACACACACACACACACACACACACACACACACAATTAAAGATAAAATAATCCATTAAGTCGGTAGCAAATATGAAACACAAAAGGCTTTAACAGACAGAAATGAGTCAATGAAAGAGAATTGGAGGTAGTCAGCGGCAAGAATTTACACTTCTAAATAGCAAGATGGTGTAGTCCTCACTGAGAAGGTGGCATTTGGACAGACATGCGTAGGTCAGGAGCGAGTCTAAGTTCTAGAAGAGTTTCCTGTGCAGTATCAATAGTACAAAATCTGACAAGGAAGCATCCCTAACATGCCATAGGGACAACCAGGATATCAATAGTGCTGGAGGAGAGAAAGAACAGACAGAGGTGAGTTTGAAGAGTTAAGAGAGTACACTAAAGGTCAGTAGGAACAGGTTGGCTATTTTCAGCTTCTTTTCCTTGAAGAACACCACCAATCCCCTGAAGACAATTGGATTTTATTGCTCAAGTCAGTAAAGCATCTTTTCTGCTTCTGCGTGGTAAATGAGCAGAGAAGTCAAGGGTGTAAGTTATCTGATAACCACAGCTGTTCCTGTGAGAGACCCTGGTGTTTCACACCAGCAAAGCATCAGGGGAGCCAGGGAGGCTCCAGAGGTACAGATAGCAGGGTTTGTTCACATCACTAACAATGGCCTTGAGTAGGATGCTGCAACTCTCAAAAAATCTTGCAATTTGCTTTCTCTTGCTGTAGAAAAACACAATAATCAAAGGCAACCTGGGCAGGTAAGGGTTTATTTGGTTAACAGGCAGGAACTCAAGCAGGACAGGATCTGGGAAGCAGGAAAGGTAGCAGAAGCAGAGAACATAGGGAACTATTGCTAACTGGTTTCTTCCCATGGATTTCTACTCCTGTTTGGTTTTGGTTTTTTGTTAGTTTGTTTGTTCTTGTTTTTATTTTTTTTGATTTTTGTTTGTATGCTTGTTTATTGTTTCGTTTTGTAATACAGGGCCACTTTCCTAGAGGTAGAACAGCTCACAGTGTGCTGAGGCCCTTCTCATCAAACATCTACCAAGAAAATGCTCCACTGACTTACCTACAACACACTTAGATTCACGTTTCATCGTCCCAAATGACTCTGGCTTGTGCTAAGTTTATAGGAAACTGAATATTACAGGTGATAGGAGAAAATTCTGGAGGGACCTCGGAGCAGAGGCCAGCAACAGATATATAAGTCAGGTGTAGATGCCCAAAGGTTGAAGGATCTTTGGTCCTGCTGTTGTCCATAAGGAAGCTGAGACGGAAGACTGCAGTTCAAGTGGAAACAGCGATCAAGACATAAGCTTATGCTGATATGTAGCCACCACTAGTTTTGACTTATTACATGGCAACATGATTATTAATAGAAAAAACAAACTTTTATTTCTTCTGTGAACTTTTACATATTGTAGACAAACTGGCAAGCTTCACTTTCCTGAACTACCTTAAATCCTTTTGTATTCATAATACTTCCACCCAGACTAACCTTCAACCTGCGCCTGTCAAAGACAAGTTACACATGAAGAGCTCCTCTGATCTGTCCCTGATCGCTGGGAACAAAGGGGCCTGTGTAGCTGGTAGGCCACTAAGTCCCAGGAGGCTGCTTGTCTCTACTTCCCCAGAGATATCATGATAGACACATTTTTACCTGGATTCTGGGACATGATGTTAGGTCCTCATGCTTGTACAGCTAGAGATAGAGCCACCTTCCTGGACCCAGAAAATTTTTGAATTGGGAGGAATTTTTTTTTGAGTTAATATATTTTTCTTTTTAGCATTATTGATTTTCTTCTGCTTCCATATCTAAGGTTTTATTTGAACTCATCCTGTCACCCTCTTAAGCTCTTATGCACTCTGATCTTACAAAGAGATAAGATGTCTCTCAGTGTATCTGCCATGCTCTGCAAGACAAACACTCACTCTCTTAGCCTGGAAAGTCAACAGAGTTGATATATTTACACTGCAAAGCTGCTCTGAGCAGCCATATCTGTTCAGCACTTTTGAAACAATCTGCATGTATATTGAAGAAAGGGGGAGTTCTCCATGATGTGTGTGGGTTCATCTTTCAACTGTGCATGTGGAGGATAATTTCCTTCATTGACTTCTACTATATATCCAGAGTCAGAGTTTCCCACTCAACACCACCATGAATGGATTTTATTTTCTAGCTAGGCAGCTTGCCCTGGGTATAACCTGACTGTGCCTCCTGGGTACAAATATCACCAGTGGACTGGTTTATCTGCACTATGACATAGGTGCCTGGGATTAGAACTCTGTTCTTCAAAAATGTGCTGCCAGTATTTTAACTGTATTTACTGAGCTGTCCCCTCAGCTCCCAACCATGACAATTTGAATCAATAGCCTTATGCCTGAGACTACCAGTATTCACACACACCGTTTATTCTCCTTTTAGCTCTAGGACATTCTCTTTCTGTGTTCAGTTCTACAACAATCAATTTGTGCCGAGCAGAGTGAAGAAAAGAAACAAAACATCAGTTAAGATGAATTGATTGAAGAATCTCCAAATCATGCTCATGAAGTAGCCTTTTTTAAATAAGCAAATTGGGCTTAGAAATCTTATATCAACTGTCTGTGTTGAGATGATCCCTGTGCTCTGGTCCCAAATGCACCTTTCTGAAAAGCAACTCTGCATGCTCTCACTCAGTTTGCTTCTTATTCTAGGACTATTAGATTTTTCTCCCAAATATGTTTTTTCCCCTTCCAGAAATACATCATTGATTCTTTCAGTGACCACAGACAAATGACTTTGTAGCCTACGTTTTCAGTGCTAAATTGAGTTTATTAATACCAGTGCAGGGTCCGTGGGAGGCTTATTAAAGATGTGCTCAAAGAGGCCAGTATTTCTGACAGCTTGCCCCAAGCCCTCTCCCTGCAGATCATTACCCATATATCCTTTACATCTTTCATATGCATGAAGTCACGACCATAGAGATGTTGGGATCTTGCATTCTAGTGTGTAAGTCACCAAGATCAGGCCATTTGCAAGTTTTCTTGGCATCATAACTAAAAGAAACATAGGGGAAAAAAAAACATTGGTTACCTTTCTCCGTTTGTCTTCCTGTTGTTAAAAACAGTAAGTGCTTTGCTGAGGCAGTAGGTGCTTCAGATGGTAAAGGTGCTTGCTGTTGAGGCTGAAAACCTAAGTTCAATTCTAGACACCCACATGGTGGAAGGAGACCATTGACTCTCTCCAGTTGTCCTCTGACCTCTGCACATTCCCCAAGGCATGTGCCCCCTGCTACCATATTTATGCACACTAAATAAATAAATAAATAAATGTAAAAAGAACATTTTAAAATAGACCCTTTTTAGCTGCCAGGGACAGGCATGTGACAACTGGGACTTTAGTGAATCTTCATGGGAGCAGGCATGATAGGGTGACAGGGCATGAACTAAGCAGCCTCAGGGAAGTTTTGAGAAAGGCGAGTTCAGGGTAAGAGGTATTCAGAAGTTGGATGGGAGAGGTAACTCAGCAGTTATGAGTACTTCCTGTTCGCGTAGAAGAACCCCGGTTAGGTTCCAACCCCCACATGGTGGCACACACCATCTGTATGTAACTTCACTTCTAGGCCTCTTACAGTGTCAGGAAGACATGTATGTGGTACACAAACAAACATGTAGGAAGACACTCATACCCACAACATGAGAAAAAATAAAAGTAGACAAAAAGGAAATGTTCAGAAGCAAGGTAGTGGCGGGGCTCTAAAAGATGAGAGGAATCCTGGTAGATGTTCAAAACAGTGCTATCCCCCCAGGGTTTAGGGGGAGATGGGGTGCGTGCGAGGTGGGGAGGTGACATGTCTTACCCAGATTCTGTTAAGAGGACTCCATATTGGCTTCTCATAACTAGTAAAGGTCTTCAGGATGTCTTTGACACTTTCTGAAAAGGTAGGATTTCCTTGCATGTTAATTGGGGGAGACATTAATCTTTAAACTGTGTTCTGTTTCTGTAGTTGAAAAGGACTTCCTGGCCATGTTCAAAGGGAAGCTCAGACAGAAATCTGTTACTTTTCCATTTCCTTTCCCAAACCACCCTGCTTTCCATTGTAACCGAATAGCCCTTCTGTACTGTGTGTCACCATAAACACAGCACTGTATAGGGTGCCTCCACTTCCGGTAAACTCCCTGCATGCAGCAGCATTTAAGCTGTAAGGAAAGGCAGAATTCTGCTCTGAGATCCCTGCTACCCAGAGGTACACACAGATATGTGTGGTTTTCATGTCATTTAATTCCGACACTTAGAGGACTTTAGCAAATTTGCTGCTCCCAAAATATGTTCTTGCCTCTATGTTTCAGTTGTCTCGGTTTGTTTTGTTTATTTTTGCATTATCTTCCCATTAGGTGTTTGCCAAACTACTGTGAACATGGAGGACACTGTTCCCAATCCTGGACTTCCTTTGACTGTAACTGCAGTGATACGGGTTACACAGGCGCCACCTGTCACGACTGTGAGTAAACACATAGTATGTCTACAGTGTATGGGCACAACTCAGGGAATACAGTATGGGGACCCTGACTGTCCAACATGGTATGGGCGCTGGTAATCCCTTTAGCATGAACGTTCCAGTAGGATGTTATAGCTCAAATACGGAAGCAGAAAGAGAAAATGCAAGCACATAAGACATATCTTTGTGGAGTTTATGAGATTAGGGCAAAAAAAGTGAACCTGGATATATGCTAAATTAGAAGAGAGAATGGTGATATAAGTACGTAGGGGAGCTGCAGAATAAATGGCATTGTCTTATAAATTGTACTGTTGTAGCAAGTAGCATTATATATGTAATATATATATATATGTTTATATGTGCATATACATAATACATACATACATACATATATCACTGGTGTAAATAACAAGTGGCATGATGTATGTCTTAGTCATTTTCCTGTTGCTATGATAAAAGCAGTTTGATCAATGCAACTTAAGGGAGAAAGGGTTCTTTTGGGTTTACATCACCAGAAGGATCAAGTACATCATAAAGGAGGAAGGCCTGGCAACAAGAGGGGAAAGCATGGTAGAAAGAACAGAAATCCAGAAAGGTCCTTTTCTATCCACATTCAGGAAGCAGAAAGTGAACAGGAAAGGGGGTAAAGCCATACTCCTTCAAGACACACCCCCAGAGACGCATTGCCACCAGTGAGGTTCTACCTGCTAAAGGCTGGTCAGGGGACTAGTGTTCGAATGCGAACCTATGGGGGACACTTTACATTCAAACTACAACGCGGGTATCCCACAAGTACCCCAGACATTGGTTGTCTGTCTTGCCCATTGTCTTCATCATGGCAGAGGTCTCCTCGTCTGCACGTTGCCATGGCTAAGGGAAGGAATCACAGGGTGAGGAAACAAACCTGGGTTGTTGTTCAAAGACTTCTGTTGAAAAAGTGGTTGATGGTTACTACTCACATCCCATTGGCCAGATACTGCCCTAATGTCACCTCCAATAGGAGGCGAAATGCATTCAAACCACAAGAAGTGAGAACCAGAGTATTGGAGAGAAGCTTCAATAACTACCTGTCAATCCTGGGCATTTGGGAAGCTTCCATTTGAAGGCCCGGGCTGACTGTGTCCCAGTTGTAGATGGAAAACAGAAAAGGGGAGGATTCTTAGGGCAATGGAGCAAGTGGGCCGAAGGAAGTGTAATGGTGCCCTGTGGAGAATCCTTGTGCAATCCCAGAAGCTGGAGGAGGACACCGACGGTAGTGATGAGACAGGAGAAGGGGGCTGGGCTCAGACACAAGGTCAGAGTTATATCCATTTCCCTGCAGTTGGTATAATTGTATCCTTGTTCAGGACTGAAAGGAATTGTATCATGTCAGCTACGCTTTCTTTATCAGTTCCTCTGTTAGCAGACACCTAGGGAGGTTCGTTCCATGACTTTGCCACTGTAAAAAGTGCTACAAGCAATACCGATATGCACATGTTCATGGGATACTGACTTACAGTGCTTGTGCTTACGACTTGTGTAGCTGAGTTACCTAGCTTGTTTAGTATGCAGTTTTCAAAGCATGTGTGTCATGTGGGCCCTAGATTGTATTAAATGCATCAAGTCATACATACAGGTAACGTGAAAGTATGTGAGTGGGTGTGTACATATGTGTGTGTAAGTGTGCTCACTTTTACTTATGTACTAGTTGTTTCCCAGATGGGACCTCTCACCTCACCCAGAGCTCACTGTTTTGGCTGAACTGGCTGATTAGCAAGCCCCTGGGATTTACCTGTCCTCTGCTGAGCTCTGGGATAGCAGGCACACAGAACTCTTGCTTAGCTTTTGTATGAGTTCTCTGATCTACTAGATTCAGTGTCTCAGGCTAGTTCACCATAAGCTCTTCTAACTGAGCTTTCTTCTGAACCCCATGAGATGGAGTATTTTCATGACTACTCCTCAGACATGCCATTGGGTCAAAGGGCATGGGGAAAGAGCTGACTTCATACTTCCAACTCTCCAAAAGTTTTAAGATAATGTATGCTTCTCAGATATTTTCTGTGACTTGATTTTCCCTTTTCTGGCAGAATTGCTTAACAGATAAAATTAAACATTGGAATATTTAAGTGGAGATTATCTTTCTTCCTCTAGGAGAGTATTGGAAAAATATTTTTTTCAGATGGCTAATATGTCAGTAAAATGAACAATCCCATAAAGGTGTCCTTTATCGTTCAACACATGCTTTTGTCAAGCAATTCTGATTTCCGTAGTCATGCATTTAATGATTGCTGCATACTGAGCCTTCTTGCTAAGTGACAGGGCAGTTGCATAGCAGGCTCTGTTGGCCTCCTATCGAGTGGCTGTCCTTGATCTTCTTAACGTGTATCTGGTGACACTTACAGGTGCACATTCAGGGTCTCAGGTGCCTCTAATCTCTTCCCAATAGAGATTGCTGCCATCCTAACAAAGCCTTCCTGGTCATTTTTTCAGCTTTACAAAAGGATGTCAGCTTTCTTCTCTCAAATTTGATGGAGCGCTGCTCTCTTTGGACAGTCAATAGGGAGATATCGACTGGGAGCATATCAAGCTGTCTGGCTCCCAACTTACCAGTCATCACAGAGCAGGCAGCTTTCCTAGTTCCACTGTAGGTAAACAGTCTCATTTGGATGAGAATACGTGGTGAGGAAATTCTGACAAAAATCTGATCTATTTCGAAGTATCTTTCAAATCTTTATCTCAGGTTTAACTCAAATATTGACATCATTATAGGAGTGTTTTTAATCAAGACTGGCATTCGTTATCCTCAATGCTAATCCTCAAGTAGACAAGAAAACAGGAGAAGAAATGAGAACAAGCCAAGTGAGTGCAAGGGAGGAGCAGAGGGAGAAGGAAGGGGAAGGGGGCAAGATGGAGTGAAGGAAAGCCAAGAAAAAGAAAACCAAAGAAGCAGAGGAGAAGGGAGAAGTGTGTGGTGTGTGTGTGTGCGTGTGTGTGTGTCCATGAGCCATATGCGCACATGGGCACAAACGCATGTAGAGAACTCAACTTTGTTGAGTTGTTTGTTGTCTACAGTCTACTCCAATTGTACTTGAGCCAGAATCTCTCAGCGAACGTCAAGCCCATCGATTCACCTAGACTAGGAAGCCAGGAAGCTCCAGGGTTCCTCCTGTTTCTTCCTCTCCAGTGCTGGTGTTTGATGCCCACATCATTGTTATATATATATATATATATATATATATATATATATATATATATATTCCAGAGTGCTGGAGGGTGAATTCAGGTCCTCATGCCTGTAGAGCAAGCCTTTTTCTAAGTAGACAACCCATCTCTCTCCAGCGCTCCTCTACTCCACAACATGAGTGAGCTTGGGTTACAGCACATGCCACGAGGTGCTTTTACTAGGCTGGGAGTGCTGTTCCTGAGAAAGGGAAGGCATTTCAGAACAGTGCAGGAGGCTTCAGAAGAGACTTAGAGGATGGGAAGAAGATTAAGAAGAGGGACTTAGCAGGGTGCTTTTATTCATTAGTAAAGGCTCTGTTTGGTCAAGCACAATGACTTCGGAGACCCACATGGGGAAAGGACAGAAAGGAGAGAACTGATTCCTGTGAGTTCTTCTCTGACTTCTGACACTATGACTTACACACACACACACACACACACACACACAGAGAGAGAGAGAGAGAGAGAGAGAGAGAGAGAGAGAGAGAGAGAGAGAGAGAGAGAGATGCAATAAATATCTTTTTTAGGAAAAATCTCTGGCAGAGAAAGAATCATACAAAGACTGAATTTCTCAGAGCTTGCCCTTCATACTACAAGGCTCCCATGCATGCAGCCTAGCAGGACTCCAAGAGGAAGTGGTCAATAAGGAATTGCTGGGAGTATGGGCAGTAGGAGCTGGGACTCAACTGATTAGGAACACAGTTGCTGTGCAGGCAACTGGAGTGCAACCCTAGGTTATCTTCGCTTTAATTCTGGGAACAGACCTGCTGGGAATGTGGTTGTTGCGGTTTGATTTATTAGCAATCTCTTTTGCAAAATACAGTCTTGTCTTGAAGGTCGAAACTGTGTGAGCCTAAAATGCTAGGTGCTATTTTCAATGGCACCGGCAGCCAAATGGTGGGAGTCAGAGAATGCTGGGAAGACAGACCACACTAGGAAGAAAAGGTCCCATGGGAATGCGGTATCTAGAACTCGAGTTCACCCACCTGAACACAATATCAAAGCACACATGGGAGGATTTCTTTCCATTTCCTTACCCTGGGAAGGTTCTTAGATGAAGGAAGACGTTACCAAATCTTCAGGTGTGGATTGATGGGGGAGACTCGTATCACATGCAGGTCTCCCAGATCACAAGATATGTGACATGGATCTAGCTGAGTGAAATTGCCATGCTTTATCCCCCTTACCTGTGAGGCATGACTAGGAATAGGAGTGAGTGCAAAGCCAGGTTAACTACTTGGGTTAATAGGACACACATAGAAAAGGGATGAAGTTTAGGGGATGCTATCACTGGTCCTCCCTGGGACATTCTATGCCCAGAGACCTAACCAGTGTAACTGAAAAGCTGCAGGGAGGTCCACAGGGAAGTTTTGTACATGGAGTTCTTAACTGGCCTGGATAATAGAATGCTGGAGTCAGATACTGAGAGATCAGAGAGAAGGAGCAAGCCATAGCACCCCTCACCTCCTAAGCATCTCAGCAGAGCAGAGAACAATTTCGTTTCTCCCTGCTTATATCCTATTTTGCTCAGCTACATCACTTCCTGTCTTTCTGTTAAGACTTCCAGGCTTCTATGGTTAGCTAGTGGCAAGCTCCATTCTCTGACTCTCCCTGCCTCCAGACAGGCTTTATTTGTGCAAGAAAGATATTGCCACAAAGTTTGGCATTGGAGAGTGTGTGGGTTGCTGAAGTCCCTTAAATCAGTAGAGTGCTGGAGTCAAAGACAGATCATGAAAGTTAGACATCTTTTATATATGTGTACTTTTAGGGGGGAGGTGCATGTGTGTATATGCATATGGAGG